CTGAGTTCTCTCTTCCAGGACCGTGGTAAGTTCCTCAACTGCTCTTGCCTCCCTCCTCCCCCGCCGCCGCCTCGGTGTTCCCCCTGGGCCACCCTTTGATCCCCCCCCTCCCCCGAATTATAAGCTTCACGGGTCTGACACTTTTGCGCCCCAAATAACGGCAAGGGCTGCCTCTCTCCTCTAAGATTTAGAGGGGGGGGAGGAGTTAACTGCACAGACAACACAAGGTCCCTGTTGACGTCGAGGAGCCCCACAGCGCAGTCTCTTAAACACCCCTTGGTTTCTGTTTTCCTGACACGGATTAAAGTAGCACACATCGTGCGGCTGAAGGGGTTTCTTTCCCCCTCCTTCTGTGGGTTTCCACTACTCTCCATTCTGCCCCCCCCCCCCCTCCCGTTTTCATTTGGGGTGGAGTCCCTGTACAGATGGGGCAGCTGAAGGAGGGTGGTGGTGCAGACACTGAGCTGCCTGAGGAATCCCCATTAGGCGGGCTGTAACTCTTCTCCCTTTCTCCCCCCCCCCTTTGTTCCCCTCCACAGACCATTATAAGCACCACTGGTTCCCGTTGATGCCCTCCAAAGGTTCAGGGTACCGCTGCATTAGGATCAATCACAAGATGGACCCCTTGATAGGAAAGGCAGCAGGCATGATCGGACTAAGCCACGAGAGACTCTTCCAGCTCCTGCCCAGCGAACTAACTCTGTGGGTAGACCCCTTTGAGGTGTCCTATCGTATAGGGGAAGACGGGTCTATCTGTGTCCTCTACGAAGGCCCTCAGCCAATAGTGAAGAATGCCAAAGCTCTTGAGAGTAGGAGCAGCTGTAAAGAGGAATGGAGAATTGGCAGAGCCAGCCCTTCCAAGAACTACAACATGATGACAGTTTCCAGTTAAAAATTAACATTCCCTGTACAATGATGTATGTATGTATCCCACTTTGATAATGAAGTTAGATGGTGTAACTGATATGTTGATTTTCACCCTATAGTCATTAAAGTTGTAGTAGTACTGCCAAATTCTTTTCTTTTGTGGCCAAGGGCTAATGTATAAAAAAAGCAGTTCTTTAACTGTGTACTTTTTCTGGATTGTATACTGTAAATGAAATTGTACAGTCAAGATGATTGTTTTACAGATCTATATTTTGGAAAAAAAATCCTTGGCTATTTGTAATAAAAATTAAACTAATTTAACTTTTTTTTTTTAACTGTGACTTTTAGTTCACGTAATGTCCCCATGACCACAACCTCTGTATTTTTGGAACAATAATTTGTGGGAGTAGGGAGGCAAGGCAGATAGAAATTAAACATTCTGCTCAATTGGAATTTTTAAACCTCTGCAGTGACTTGGCTGCACAGACTTTTCAGGATCATAAATACAGCTGCATGAAACCAATATGACTTATCTAATGTAAATATCTAGGGCAGTATTTTTTATTCCCAAAACAGCTGTCAAATATCAAATCAAATTTGTTGTAGCAAAGTTGTAAAAGTACGTATCCTCCTACTCCGTAAAATACCTTTTTAATATAGCTTTACCTTAATGAATATTGGGTAAAAATATCTCAATGAAAACCGATCTACATGGGATAATTGATGCCTTCAGAAGATAATTGTTAAAGCTTTCCTGGAATCAGATGGGCTGATCCCAAGCATGTCCCTTTGGAGGCTGGTGGCAGAATTTATTTTAAGCAGAGCCTCAAACGCAAGAATTGCTTTGGAATCTATTCAGTGGCTAGGATCCAAAGAATTACTTTAGGTTTTGGGGTTTTTTTACTTTCCCCCTTCAGACAGCAGACCCTCCCCTATGCCTTGTTACAAAATGTTTATGACGTTCTTCTCAGTTTCAGAAGAAGGGTGGGGTGGGGAGGATGCTCTCCCCAGAAAGCATCCTATTCTCCTTTTAGCAAGGGTAATAAGATTGCCAAGTCTGGGTTGGAAAATACCTGGAAACTTTGGGGGTGGAGCCAGGAGAGGGCGGGGTTTGGGGAGGGAAGGGGCCTCAGCATAGTACAATACTATACAGTCCACCCATCAAAGTAGCCATTTCCTCCAGGGGAGCTGATCTCTGTCAGCTGGCGATCAGTTGTAAAAGTGGGAGATCCCCAGGTCCCACCTGGAGGCTGGCAACCCTAAAGTGTAACTAGTTATTTTTTTAAAAAATTCACCCCATAATTGTTACTGGATGTTCATGGTATTGGTACTTTACTGTCACTTTGAAAACAGAAAATAGAAAAACTTTGATGGCCTACCCCACGGTAGCCATTTTAAAAAAATCTTGCAGCTCATGAAAGAGAGCATTGTAAGAAGTTAGCATGTCACCAACACATCTTGCACAATGTCACATTAACATGGTATAGATGCAGCTCTTTTAAGAGGCAAGTCTGGGCAGATGTCAAATGATATGTAAAACTCTGTTGAACAATAGCTTCCTGGAAATCTGATGGATTTACAGATATTTTGAGTTTAAAATTAGTTCAGTTACAATTTAATGGCTATGTTCCAAACAGATTTCTTTCTCATAAAACTATTGTAAACATCATAACACATAAGATGATTTTAAAATGCATCATGGATGTACTAACGTTTTGAATGGTGTTATAGCTATTGTAAAATCCATAATACCCATAAAACAGATATCTAAACAAAGTTTTCTGTAAATAGGCTAAAAATTGGGGGGAAATCCATTAAAACCAAATATATACTTTCAGAGAGATATATTAAAATCAGTTAGCTTTTATATTTGTAAAGAGTACAAGGGTTTGACAATATGCATGGGGCTTTTCATAATAATTGTGCTCTGGTAAATTAAGAATTTTTGAGAAAGTTAAGCAACAGGAATTCTGATACTGATAGGAATTGCACACTACAATTTCTTCTCCAAAATAATTTCTGATGAGCATTCAGCTATGTCACTGCCTGTACAGGAAATCAGGACACACCTAAATTATTAGGTAGACTTTTTCACATACAGCACGACACGACACTAAAATGTACATTAGCTTCTTTTGTAGTTTTTATCCCAAGAGTTAATGTGTGAGAGAATATGGAGAAGAAGAAAGGGTATACAGGTGGCTCTGCAATTAAGGTGTTTTGCCTGCTTTGTACACCAAGCATAAATGGTTTTGAATGTCAAATATAAAATTTGCTGTAATGGTCCTGTGGTACTTCGACACTCATACAGCAAGGATTAACCCCCCCATACAAAAATTCTTTTCTTTTGCAAAATCAACTATATATTTGCAGATTTTTTAAAGCACTGTATGTCCTTATAGAATATACAATATTGTTCTCCATTATTTTTGCTAAAAAGATCTATAATGGTTCCAATTATTTGAATGCTTAAAAATATGCATTGGGAGCAGAGTCATTTAGAATTCGGTTCATAAAAAGACTTGTGTATATTAGAAATCAGTAACATTTACTTGGAAACCTTATGTGCCAGTAATATGTACTTAGGTATGTATATCTCCCTTATAAATAAAAGCCGAATGGTGGTGGCACTTCTCTAGAACATTCCACATGCTCCGGAATTGGTTGGCGTCCTGGTGTGTCACTCAGAATCTGTCCCTATCCACTGGCTGCATTGCTTGAGTCTCGCCTCCAACATTCTAAACAGTTTGCTGTTCCCCCCCCCCCATAGCCAGTCAGAACACAGAGGTTATTTGCATATGCAACCTCATTGGCCTTTGCCTCGGAACACAGAGGTCGTTTGCATATGCGACTTGATTGGCTTTTGCCTCTAACATTCTAAACAGTTTGCTGTTCCCCCCCCCCCATAGCCAGTCAGAACACAGAGGTTATTTGCATATGCAACCTCATTGGCCTTTGCCTCGGAACACAGAGGTCGTTTGCATATGCGACTTGATTGGCTTTTGCCTCTAACATTCTAAACAGTTTGCTGTTCCCCCCCCCCCATAGCCAGTCAGAACACAGAGGTTATTTGCATATGCAACCTCATTGGCCTTTGCCTCGGAACACAGAGGTCGTTTGCATATGCGACTTGATTGGCTTTTGCCTCTAACATTCTAAACAGTTTGCTGTTCTGAGGTAAAATGTGTCCAATCTCCAGGTGAGGGCTGGAGATCACTCAAAATCACAACTGTTCTTTAGGTAGCAGAGATCAGTTCCTCTGCAGAAAATGGTGGACTCAGTGTCATTATACCCTGCTGAGGTCGCCACAACAAATTGACACTGAGTGTCCAAGGCCGGGGCACCCGCCCAGAGCCTCTTTCTAGAGATCGTTGTATTAATTCCACAACGGGCCTTTTTCCTAGTTATCTATACTACTAAAACACCTCTAAAGGATTTTCACTTCAGCCAATACCATTTTGGGGGGAAGCCTTTTGATTTCACAACAACATCCAGTCTCAACATCAGCACTTTAATATCTAAAATATCACCTATAGGATCAAATACAATACTAATAGTCCAAGTTCATATGGGACACCGCACATTTTAAAGAATTATTTGACAACGTTAGATACAATGCTGGTTGCTGGGGGGGAAATAAAACAGGTGCCGCCTACAGGCTTAGAAATGAGATACCCTAGAGAGGAAGGAAAAATAAAAGAGAAAAAGATTAAATCAGAATATATATATTTTTTAAATTGACAAGAAGGTAAAAAAGGTTTTCTGGAATTAGATAACTCCTCTGCTTCAGAAAATGTTTTTATAGTCCCGTTCACTTGCAGAAGTAGCCACGTGATACGCACGAATTACGGGCAGGTTAAGACCTTTTACATATAATGGTGATTAACAGTAATTAAGAGAAACACACAACAATAAATCCCAATATTTCCCAACTATATCCATTGAATGATTAATACCTGCCATTGATGGATAAAAATGTGGTCATTTCACAACATAATGGAATGCTCTGCACCTTTCCTGAGGTGAGTAGCTCTTTAGGACATAACAGCTACAGAGCACTGACTAAGTATTACTCAGAAAAATGCTGTGCAAAATGGATATTGGTGTTTTCAAAAAGAAACAGCAAGAAGGGTGAAGGACCAAACATTCAACAGAAATTATAGTGAATTTCATTAGAACAGGTCATTTGTAAAAGTCATCCCTGGGTAGAACTGTGGTTGGAACAAACTTGATGGCAAAAGAGCACATGCAACAGAAAGCAAAGAATGCCCAGCTGTATCAGAAGCCAAACGTTTATCTTACTGTGACTCAAAAAAAGTCACCGAGGTGGTTTGTGCGTTATCCCCTTTGTAAGCAGTACTGTGACTAATGTATCGGGGTTTTGTTTCTTCATTCCTATTGTGCAACGAATCTGTTAACAGCAAGTATAATAGTTGGACAGTACTACAGACCACTGGACCCCTCCCCCTGCAATAACTTACTGTAACTTAATGTACAGTAGTCATGTATGGCTGCGAGAGTTGGACTATAAGGAAGGCCGAGCACCGAAGAATAGATTCTTTTGAACTATGGTGCTGGAGAAGACTCTTGAGAGTCATTTAGTCTGCAAGAAGATCAAATCAGTCAATCCTAAAAGAAATCAACCCTGACTGTTCCCTGGAACGCCAGATAATGAAACTGAAGTTCAAATACTTTGGCCACCAAATGAGAAGGAAGCACTCACTGGAGAAGACCCTGATGCTGGGAAAGATTGAAGGTCAAAGAAGACGGGGACGGCAACGGATGAGATGGTTAGACAGTGTCATCGATGCAACGAACATGAAGTTGAGCCAACTTCAGAGGACGGCGGAAGACAGGAGGGCCTGGCGTGATCTGGTCCATGGAGTCGCGAAGACTCGGACTCTACTGTGCAACTGAACACAACAACAACTTATCCTGACAAGACAATGCTGTGATATCTTGTTCTGATATCTGAAGAGGAAAACACCTGTATAATTTGGGAGGGACTCATGAAAGCTCATACCCTGCCACACATTTTTGTTAGTCTTTAAGGTGCTACTGGACTCTTGCTATTTTCTATTGTCTTTGTTGTTGATCAGCACTTGTAGTTTATAAGAAACAAATAACAAGAAAACTTCAGTCAGTCTTGAGTCAAGCCACAGGGCTTCTGATTTTGTTATGGTG